CATTTTATTTAAAAACATATATCCATAAACTTGTGTATAATATTTTATACATTTTTTAACAATGCTGATATTGTTGAGCATTCGTGGCAGTGGAATTAAACCTGGATTCTATGTTTAAATCAATAAAGTATTAATATGTATTAATTGTATCTTTTTTTATTCATATAAAGCTCAATGTGCAGTTTTGATCTTTCGTGCTTTTATGTTACAACCAATCATGAATGCGTTCCACAAACCACGTGACTATACCTTCTTTCGCTGCGGAGATGGCCTCACTCCTCTCGTCTAAAGTACGGGTTTATGCTTCATCCCTGTATTCCTATCTCCATGGAAATGAGGAACCTCCCTTTTCATCTCTGAGATACAGCCATGAGATCTTAGCTTACATTGCTGGCGCAATCGTATGATCGATAGAAAAACGACTAAAATGTGAAATGTGCCTTAAAGAAATTAAAAGCAACGAAATAACATCAGAACTTATTAAATTAAAGAACCGAGAAGACAGAGGACAAAGAAAAGGCTGCTAATTGTAAAAAACAAAAAAAAGTTTAACATCATCAAATAAGGATGTCGTCACTGTTTGCAAAACAGCTGAAAAAGTAATCAGGTCGATTCCTAATTTACTTTTTACAAAAAATGTTTTTCAAATATTAATGATTCATACAAAAATATTACTAGCACTACTAAATCTGTTTTCAAGAATTTATGCTTGTTGAAAAAACAGTTGAAAATAATCATGTATTCGATTTGATTAATCTGATTTTAAAAAAAGTTCTTCAATCTTCGTCTACATCAGTGGTGGGCAAAGTACGGCCCGCGGGCCAACTCCGGCCCGCGAAAAAAGCCCACAAATTTCTTATAGGTACGGTCCTACTTACGGTTATCGACATGCATCGGCTGTACTTCCGAAAAGCCTCGTTCTTCGAATTGCATCGAGGCATAAAGAAGACCATCTTTCGACGTCTACAAAGCGGATCGAGAATATAGTTTGTCAAGTTCTCCACTTGTGTGTGTGACATATTATGTATATGTGTATATACAGGGTGGGGCACGTAAAGTGTTACAGAGCAACTCATCACTCAAACTAACAATCATATCTAAAAAATTTTTATACAAAAGTTTCAGTATTGAGAGGGCCGCCATACTGGCGCACCTTATTTTTTTACTGGTGGAGGCGCTGAAGCTACGCTAAGGACACCGCCAATTTTTTAAATGGATCGGTATATTTTTGCTTCCGTATCATGATAAAGAATCTTAAAACGAATTCAACGACCTATAACACAAGGACATTGAAGGTCATACAAAGCGGAAAAAGGCGATAATACTTACGGTTTTTGTAAGAGATTACAGTGTNACTTCAAATGATATAAAATATTTCATCACAGAACAGCTTTTCTTAATGTTAATTTTAATGGGAGAAGAAATTAAGTACGCCTGTAGAGACTTTTAAGATTATTGCACGTTCATTGTTGCAAAGGAGGTATGTAGTATGGTAATAATTTAGAAACTATTAATACGGATATAGAGGCTAACAAAGAGCCAAAGGGAGAATACACTTGCACGTTACACTCTTACGGAACAAAAAGTGAAGATCATTATTAGGCTGCGAATGTTTTGTTGACACATTTTTGTAAAGAATTTACACAGATTTCGTAACGGTCTTATGTACCATTGGAGATTACATTCTTGTAACAGGTGCATCTTCTTATATACAAATGTAATAAAAAGCAGTCTAATCATGATCTTCCCATAAATCCTATAGATATCGCAGATCCCTCCGGCAGCCAATTATCGTAGGTACTTATGTTGATGTACATAATGCCAAAACACCCCTCATTGTGATAAATAAAGAATTTCAGTATTCAGTAAACCAATTATCGTACTATACATGTTATCTTACAATTAAACTGTTGATAGAAACAGTAAATAATAACGAGGGCGTATTCAATAAGCAGAAGACGAAGATGTAATAATAGGCATTACATAAACACCTGAGCAAAAATGTACGTCTCATTAGTGCTATTTTGACTGCTATTATCAGATGCATTCAGCAGAATCGATAGTTGCGTTGAATCAACAATAACATCTCGTTCACAGCATAATGTGGATATAATTGACGGAAAGATATATCAATTCTCGTAGAAGAGTGGGGTTGCTCATCACACCTTTAAAAACGGAGGTCGTGATGACATGCTATAAGCCCAGTATTTATATCTTTACACCTTCACCTTACCAGTATTGATTAATGTAAAATAGAATTGGAAGTAAATTAGGCAGGAGGGACCCAGCCTCCATGAGCTTTCTCTAGTTCGCGTGCTACAGCCAGGCAAAGATGATCATTATACGGTGCTGCAACAACCTGAAACAAAGTTTGAAATCTTTTTGTCTACTGATGTTGTAAGCACACACAAAGACTCATTATAATCGATTAAAGCTGCCATGATTAATAAATGATTAAAAATTAATAAAATTCCAGGTCTTTTCGGTC